GGAAGCCTGCTTCTCCCTCTCCCACTCCCCCTGCTTGTGTTCCCTCTCTCGCTGCCTCTCTCTGTCAAATAAATAAATAAAATCTTTAAAAAAAAAAAAAAAGACCATCACAACTGAAGTCATAGGTGGGTGGGAGACAACGTGTAAGCAAACGCATGAGAGTGCACGGTGTTCGCACCACACCCCACGCACATCTTCCTATTTCAGATCCTGAGACAAAGGTCTTCTGTCGATGGGAAGGTGAACAGTTATAGGGCCGGCAGAACCAAAGAGCCTCTGCTATGAGAACAAAAGTCCATTTGTCTTGGAATGCCATTTCCAGAGGCTCCAGAGTCACAGACGTGCACAGCAAATGCCTCCATCCTTTTACAGAGGGGGACGCAGAGGCCCAAGGGGGAAGGGACCTGCCCAAGCCTCCCTGTGTGTCAGGGGCAGGATGGAGCCCTCACGTGCAGAATCTAGGACACCTGCCTCCCTGACCTGGCCCCTGGTCACTAGCTCAGTGAGGTCTTGGCCGTCTCATACAAGAAGCCCCTCCTCTAAATCTCATTATGTTTAGGAGTGAGTGGCTAAGACCAGCACAGGACTGGCCGACGTGAATGCAAAGCCAGCAATAGAAACAGGGTTCCGAGGGACATGTCAAAAAAGAGGGCCGTCGGGACAAGAAGGAGTGAGGTAAAAGATGGATGGGTGGCAAGGGGACCACTCACGGTCAGGCAGGGTGGAGCGTTCCACCACGGAACCGAAAGGCCCGTCCATGTCCACGCCGTGGGACTGTACCGCAAACTCGTATTTGGTGAATGGCTTCAGCCCACCAATGAGGATGTCTTCTCCAGAGCTGCCGAGGCAAGAAATGCAACTAGCGCTCTCAGGGCACCCTCCTGCCAGGACAGGCCCATCCAAATCCACTTCGCCAGCCAGCCCCAGGCCCTACCCTGGGCGGGGAACGGACTCACTGGCAGGGGGGCCACGGACACCACCCAGGGGCCCTACAGGGAGGTCTGGATGTATGCTGATCCCAGGGTAGTCTGTCCAAATCTCCAGACCAGGCCCCCTGCTCCAGGAAACCTTCCTGGGTTCCTCCAAGTCACTGTCCACCCAAGGATCCATCTCTGATGCATCTTTTCCTTGACTTAATGGTACTTTAGCTGCAGCTATACACAGCTCTTATGTCTTCCCACTTTATTCTATCTGTTTTATTTGCTTTATTGTGTCTTCAATGATACTTTTATGCGATTTTTCCTCTGCCTAACCAGCAGCTCCTCCAGGGCTCTGCCTCCCCATCTGACTGGGGGCCCTCGCAGGACGGCATCAGGGCTGTCTCCTCCCCCTCATGTCGGGAGGCCTCTGAGGTTGGAGAAATGGGTCTGTCCTGCATCACGTTCCCTGCGGTTGAGTGCGAGGCTCTGTTGGGAGGGGATGGGATAGGATGCACTCCCCTCTTCCACCTGGCACCAGCAGACCCTCAGGGTGCCCCAGTGCAAGACGCGAGCCAGGAAAGGCCCCTGAATGCCCGGGGTCCCTCCCCTCATCACCATCTGCTGCCTTCCGTCCCCGTGGCAGCATCGGCTGGCTTCCCCACCTGGTGTAATAGGTGACCAGGGAGGCGTTCCTGAGCCCCCAGGGGCTGAAGCGCACAGTGTAGTTGACAATCTTGACTGTGGTGAAGTCTGGCTTTTTCCACCGAAGCCAAATGGAAGTGGAGCTGTTTGATTCCGCATGGACGTGGGCAGGGGGCAAGGGTGGTCCCCTCTGGATGGGCAAGTCTGGAAGGTGAAAACAGAGTGTGGGGAAAGGAGGGGGGACACTCATACCAAAATACGGGTAGTGGTTCGCGATTCCAAGGTACTTTTTTTCACCCTCTGTCTTCTGGTCCCGTGGAGTTGGGTAGCATCATTCCCACCTCACAGCTGAGGAAACTGAGGCTCCCAAGAATTTCAGTGATTTTTGCCAAGGCCATACATAGAGCAGACTGCACTACAGAGAGGCAGCAAATTATGGCAATTAAAAGCACAGATTTTGGAGCCAGGTGGTCCTGGTTCCAATTCTAGCTCTGCTGCGTACTAGCTGTGTGACCTGGGAGAAGCTACTTAACCTCTCTGTGCCTCCATTCCCTATTCTGTCAGTGGGGCTGAGAACAGTCCCTCCTTCATGGTGTTGTTATGAGCATTCAATTAATATTTGTTATGTATACAGAAAAGTGTCTGGCATATTGCTATGGACTGAATGTTTGTGTCCCCCTCAAATTCACATGCTGAAATTTGAACACATGGGGGGCCCTCATGAACGGGATTAGTGCCTATCTTTGTCCATCCGGGCCACCATAGCAGAGTACCACAGACTGGGTGGCTTACAAACAACAGAAATTCATTTCTCACGGTTCTGGAAGCTGGAGTCTGAGACCAGGGTGCCAGCATGCTCAAGTTCTGGTAAGAGCCCACGTGTGGGGTATAGGCTGCCAACTCCTCATTATATGATCTTACGGAGGAGAGCAGAGAGAGGAAGTGAGCTCTCTTGTGACTTGTAAAAGGGCACCAATCCTCTTCATAAAGGCCCCACCCTCCTGATCTCATCTAACCTTATTTACTTCCTTATACATCGTACTGGAGGGTGGAGTTTCAATGTATGAATTGGGGGGCAGGGGAGGGGCACAAACTGTCAGTCTGTAACTGTGCCCTTATGGGAGAGCCCCCAGAGAGCTCTCCAGCCCCCCTTCTGCCATGTGAGGACCCCATGAAAACATGGCTTATGGTCTATGAACCAGGAGGTGGGCCCTCACCAGACACTGAGTCTGCTGGTGCCTTGATCTTGGACTTCCTCCGGGACTGTAGAAAGCAATGGTTGTTTCAGCCACCCAAACTAGGGTATTTTTGTTAAAGCAGCCTGAGCTAAGACCTGTATAGTAAGTGCTATAGGATGATGTGTTTATTACATAAATATAAAATAAAACAAACTCCATGACAGTGGGTACCTTATCTGTATTGTTCATCACTATATTTCCAGAACAGGGTAGTAGACAGTAAAAAAGATTTGCTGAATGAACAAACTGGAATTTGAACCCAGGTTTCTTGGCTCTGGGTTGAGTGCTCCCTTCGATAAAACACATGGTTGAAAATCAGCCTGGGAAGTAAGGGGCAAGGGGGTGTCATGATGGGCAAGCAGGGTGGCCCACACAGAGCCATGGGACAGTGTACTACCGTGGACAGACTTTTGTTGGGCAGCCAGGAGTCCCGGTTCTAGTTTAGGCTCTGTGTGACCTTGGGCAAGTCCCTTTACTTCTCTGAGCGTCCGTTTCCTGATGGGCCACATAGGGACGTTCTCCCTGCCCAGCGTGGAGGGACAATCTGATAGACAGTATGTTGTAGGTAGGTGGATGTGTTTTAAAAAATGTTTAAAGATCAAACAGGGTCAGGAGTCACTGATCAACTATGGGGTTTCTCTCTGTCCAAACCTTCCAGATCAGCACTGCTCATGGGTAATGAAAACCTGGTAGCTGGCCTGAAAGACAGTACAGCAACTGAAGTTTCTCTCTGCAACAGAGGCTGTCTGGGGCTAGAAGAGGACCTTTGAGCCTAAGAGAATGGGTCTGGGGGTGGCTGAGGCTGCCGGATGGCCTGACCACCAGGGCTGGCCCAGAGGAAAGGGAAAGGAAGTGGCACACAGACCCCTCGACGGAGCCCTCCTCCCTCTCCTTCCCCAGCCCCCTCACCTGGTGTGGGAGCCTTTTCTGTCTTGCCCTTCCACACTGCTGCGTAGCCGTCCTCATGTTTGTTGAATGCCACGAGCTTCACCTCGTACAGCCGGCCAGGGGCTGGGGAAGGTCATGGGGGTCACTGGCTAGAGGGACCCCCGAGGCCACTCTTTCATCCCCAGAGAGCATTCCATTCCCGACTCCCGTGCCCAGCTTGCCCAGGTCCCCACCGAGGCTATGTCTGTCTTGCTCCCTCCCGCAGCCCTCCTCACCTAGCTGGGTCAGCTCATACTGCTTCACTTTCTTCTTGAGCCGGACAGGCCCCACGTCCCAAGCCTGGTCTCTGTGGCCCCCTGGGGGACTCTTGCCATCGGCCTCCTCCTCGGCCCCCACCTCCCGCCAGTACAGTTTGTAGCCAGAGATCTGGGCGGGGTGAGGGGGCGGCTGCCATGACACCACCAGGGACTCCATCCTTGCCCGGACCTTCAACTCTGCAGGGGCAAAAGGGACTGGGGGCAGAGGAGCAGGATGGGAAGAAGGAGTGAGAGAAAGGGGAATGAGGAGAAGGAAGCCAGGGATGGGGGAGGGGGACGAGGCAGGAGGAAGCCAAAAGCAGGAAGCCAGCACTGACCCCCCCCCCCCCCCCGTGCTGTGTCTGGGCTCAGTCTAGAGGGGAACTCACTGTTCTACACACCCAGAGTGCTGACAATGCAGGGATGTCTCCTGGGCATTTGCAAAGGGGTTAGCAAGAAGCCCCTCTGGGGCAGGACTGATGGTACCTGGCACAGCGTCAGGCCCTGTAACTCTTCTGAAGGAAGGAATGCATGGGTACTGACAGGCTAGGGGGTCACCACGGCTGCTGAGGCCGGGAAGGAGGGAAGGAGCCATTGGTGTGGGGAGCCTACTTGGAGCCCAAGAGTGGGGCCTTACTATGTGTCAGACACTGTTCTAAGCTCCTTATACGTGTATTTTAACTTTGTTCTCACAACCCCATAAAATGACAAAAATACTATTGTCTCCATTTTACAAAGAAGAAAACTGAGAAGTTGAGTGACTTGTCCAAGGTCATACGGATAGTATGCGTGCGAGAGGGTCTGTCTGTGCGTAATCATTCTATTACTGGGCCTCTTGACAAAACCAACAATCCTAATCTGGAAGCAGCGACTATCTGCCAAGTTCTTATTACGTACTGAACACTCGTTTACAATGCGTTAGTAGTCCTCACGCCACCTTCGGCAGTAAGTGAAGCCTCAGAGTTGTGAATGGTTTGTTCAAAGTCACGCAGCAGATAGAAGGGACCCTGGAGCCCAGGTTTGTTTGTAAAGGCCAGCCGTTCGCCTCTAACACCTGGCCTCCCTTGCCCATCAAGCAGGGGGAGCCATGGAGGGTCTCTGATGGAGAGAGCGCTTGGGCCTGCGTTCTAAAGGCACACATATGCCCACAGGGTCACATACCCCATCCTTCCTCTCTCCTCACACCCCATACCGTGGCTCTGGTTGTGCATACTGGGCGTCCGGTGCTGCATCCACTGGGAGGGGGTCCCGTAGCCCGCCCCGGTGCCGGCCGAAATCCGTACTCTATACACCTTGTTGGGCTGAAGCGCACTCAGCGTAAACTGTGTCTCATTTCCAGGCACCTCGGTGGAGAAAACCTGATCTGCTGGGACAGAACACATGGCTGCAGGGCGGCGACCTGAGGACCATGACCCCTAAACTCCCCTACCAGCTAGTCCACCCCAGATCCTGGTTCCTCAGTGCCCATGAGAGCCTGAGGCCCTCTCGGCACAGATCCCTCAGTGCCTGGACGGACTCCACAGCTCCAGAGCTGACTCCTGGGCCTCCGGCCTGGGCTGACGCCGGTCATCACCCTCAGCTCAGAGTGGAGAGAACCATGGCACAGATTCCGCACTTCCCCATGAGCTGTCAGTGACCATCCCCTTACACACACACCTAGGGTGCAGGTGCAAGGGCTTGTCTCTGAAGGCCATCAGGCACTGCCTGCCTTCTGGAGCCCAAGCCCCCTTCCTCACCCTTCCCTCCTTCTTCACTCTCACCCTCACCCCCAGCCCCTTGTCTTCCCCTAACTCTTCATCCCTTTCATATCCTCTCCCCTTGATCACTTACATCTGCCCTAACACGCCCTCCCCGATGCTCTGTTTCCCCAAACCCGCAAGCACGCCCTCCACTGCCCTATCCCTCATCTGCTTTTTGAGTTGGAAGGGACCCCAGGGATTACCTAGGCTACCTGCCTCGTTTCACAGATGGGGAAGCCGAGGCAGGGACTTAACTGCATTATCCACTATAGCTATACAGGAAGTGGGGCTAGAATCCAGGCCTCCCTCTGTCTTAAGCTTTGCCTCTTTGCCTTTCCCTACACTCAGACCACACTCCTCTTGTCCAGGGTCCTATTTCCCTACTCCATGGCTCTGGCTCAGTTCCTCAGACTTCTCCCCCACTTCTGCTTGGATCCTCAGCTGCTCTGGCCAGCACTTCATATCAACAATTCCCAGCCAGGTGGAGCCCTCACCCTGCCCCCACTCACCTTCCTTTCCCAAACCGTACTCTATCTTGTACTTCACCACCTGCCCATTGCTCATGCTGGGAGGCAGGGGCAGCCACGCCACCCTGATGTCCAAGGGGTTGGGGCTGGACAGGGAGAGCTGGGGCGCTGCACTGGGGACTGAGACAGAAGAACATCAGGGTGAGCTCTGCTCCACCGACGTGGAAGGTGAGGCCCAGGAGCGGTCAGAGACTTGCCCAGGTCACACAGCAAGTCAGAAGTAGGCCCAGGACCAGGATCTGAGGGAGGAAAGGGAGCCTCTCAGGGGAGCCCCAAACTGGAGATGAGGAGATATTCTTCCCACCCCAAAGCCAGAAAAAGTTTTGGGGCACAATCTTCTACATCCAATGGGTTCATGTCACCGGCCCCTGCCTGACTGGATGGTACATGGATATTGAGAAGGGCCATACAACACGGGGAATCAAGACCTGGACTCAAGTCCCAGCTGTACTACTGACCTTGGGCAAGTCACTCTCATTTTCTGGGCCTCAGTTTCCCAAACTGTAAGCTGGGAAGAACCCTCACCCACCTCCTTACAGGGCACAGAAGATGACATGAGGCAGATAAAAGTGCCTTGGCATACACTAGTAAAAAGAAGCGAGCTACCATCCCCAGGGAATTCTCTGGAACCCAAGGTGCCCATTGCAGGTTTAGAGGCCCTACCATCATCCAGTGTGTGGACCAGCGCTGGGGTAGAGGTGCGGCTGGCCCCCAGCTGGGAGTAGGCCACCACGTAGAACTCATAATCGGTGTTGGGTTCCAGGTCCCGAACCTGCAGCTCTGTGGTGTCATTGTTCACTGCAAACTGGTATTCCACATTGTCCATGCCTGGGGCGGTGACACAGAGGACAAAGGTACTATCACAGAGCCACCCCCAAAGGTCTGCCAGCTGGAGGCTACCAAGGGATCTTTCATATTGTCCCAGCCTCTGGAATGGTCTGGGTATAACTAAATCATCAGATCATCTGAGCTGGAGAGTAAGACTTCCCCCGCTTCTAGTCTCACTGTATTAATTCCTCCACCAGTTAGGAAGTTCTTTCTGGTGTCTAACTGAAATGACTCCTGCTGCAGTTAATCAACCAGCTCCAGGAATGCCTAGGCATTTTCCCTGGGAGGAAAAGCATCCTCTTCCTTATCATAACAGACTGGAGGAGGGGGAAATGGGCCACACACGTTAACCCCTCCAGCACTGCATCGAAGACTATGGCTTAGCCCATGTCCACGCAGGTCTTCTCCCGTGGGCTCCCACCCCATCTCATCCGACCCCAAAGGTACCCTTCCGTCGTCTAACCTGTGTCGCCCTCGGGGCGCCCCCGCGCGGGTCCCCAGCGGACGTACCCCGTGCCTTCTGGTAGTGGAGGGAGAAGCCGATGATCTGCTCGCTGTGCAGCTCGGGCCGCTCCCACGCCACGAGCACCGCAGAGCTGCTCAGCGGCGTGGCCGTGACCCTCGTGGGGGCGCTGGGCAGCCCCTCGCGCACCACTACGGCCAGGGGCGCGGCGGCGCACGCGCTGCCCGCGCTGTTCTCGGCCACGCACTGGTAGTAGCCGGCGTCCTGCAGGCCGATCTGCGTGATGACCAGGCTGCCGCCGCCGCCCTGCACCTTGACGCGCCCGTTGGGCCGCAGCGGCGCCCCGTCGTGCAGCCAG